TCTGTGTAGGTCTTTCTTTCTCTGTCCGTCTCATGTCTGTCTCTCCGTCTCTCTGTCTCTCTGTCTGTCTCTATGTCTGTCTGTATTCAATCTTCTTCCCTAGTGTCAAAACCAGCAAACCTTGGGACCGGGTCTACATTTAAAGCCCGAAAGACACTTGCCCGAATAAATGTCTACCCGTATGCGACAACTGCCCGAATAAATTTCTGCCGAATGCGACAAACGCCTACATAAACCTTGCCCTACCCCTCTCCCCTAAGACAATCGTTCCCCACACCCAGCACCACTCCTCCAAGAAAGTCTTCATCCATTGTGGAGCACCGCGTCACGCCAGCCGTGGCCTGGGGGTAGAGCGCAAATCTACTATCCTGTAAGTCTCAATTTTAAATCCAGGTTTAAGCCAGTAGAACGTCCCTGAGTCCACGTTAGGGAACGTAAAGGTGGCTGGGCATAACACAGACCACAAATTCCCTTCATATGCCTAGGTCATAGAAACAGGTAAACTCTACTTCACTTGCCCCATGAACCGCCAGGAACAAAAAGCAAAAACTCCTTTGTTTTACACCACGCCTCCAAGACGATCCTCATAGGTCAGCACCACGCCACGCATCAAAGACAATCCTCATACATTAACACCACGCCACGTATCAAAGACAATCCTCATACATTAACACCACGCCACGCATCAAAGACAATCCTCATACATTAACACCACGCCACGCATCAAAGACAATCCTCATACATTAACACCACGCCACGCATCAAAGACAATCCTCATACATTAACACCACGCCACGCATCAAAGACAATCCTCATACATTAACACCACGCCACGCATCAAAGACAATCCTCATACATTAACACCACGCCACGCATCAAAGACAATCCTCATACATTAACACCACGCCACGCATCAAAGACAATCCTCATACATTAACACCACGCCACGCATCAAAGACAATCCTCATACATTAACACCACGCCACGCATCAAAGACAATCCTCATACATTAACACCACGCCACGCATCAAAGACAATCCTCATACATTAACACCACGCCACGCATCAAAGACAATCCTCATACATTAACACCACGCCACACATCAAAGACAATCCCCATGCATCATCACCACTCCCCAAGACATCGTCCAGCATCACGTTATTAAAGTACCCAATCTAACAGTGCGTAGTCAGCCATTACTTAACCACAAACGACACAGTTCCTTGACTTTAACTAACCTAACGAACAACATTGTCAGTTCACTGAGAACTCATTCTCCCCCCAGTATGATCACACTCCTGTTTCGTGTGGCCAAAGTCAGGCTAGCCGTGATATATGTCAGGAATTTAATTACAATCTCCAAATTGACTTTGTCAGAATTAACTTTCGTGTGCCAGGGTTGCGTCTATTAAAGCACCTAATTCTGAATAATATTTTCTAAAACTAGGTTTGAAGGAAATAGTTTACAATAGTTCAGTCCTTGACACGAGGTTGTTCAATAAATGAGAGATATTTTTAAGGACAAGGATAGTAGGCTGATGCGTTATAGCTGGTTAATAGACGACTGTTTTGTTATATCTGGTTTATGGACGGCTAGAATTTTATAGCTGGTATAAGGACTGGTAGAATTTAATAGATGAAATGGACCGATAGAATGTTATAGGCAGTTATAGCTGGTGTATGGACGGCTGGAATGTTATATCTGGTATAAGGACGGGTAGAATTTTATAGATGAAATGGATGGCTAAAATATTCAAGTTGGTATACGTACGGCTGGAATACTATACCTGGTATATGACGACTGGCATACTATAGCTGATGTATGAAAGGACGAAATGCTATTACTGTTATACAAATTGTTGTTTATATAGATGGTATTTATTGTAAATGCTGTCGTAGAATTGTCCTCTTGTCCCGTATTAGTGCTCACGAGAAATATGACATGGTTCCCTTTAAATCACTGGCTTCTTGTTATACTAATACTAGTATCGCTATTTACTCCAGTGACATCTATCTCATTAGTAATTACCCTTCTAGTGATACCGGTATCTCATTAATTAATCAACAGGCGTTGGTCTCACTAATTACCCTGAAAAACCGTCTCACTAATTACTATAATGACATTTTTTCCCATGGAGTTAAACCGAGGTCGCAACCTGCCGATGGCAATAACCCCCCCTCCCCCATCCCCCCCCCCTCTCCCCCAGCCTGCCCCATATTTTAATGCCTAGCTCAATCTTGTCAAGAGCCAATCATAACGCAGTCTGGAAGCATCTAATTCTGTCAGGGGGAGGGGGTTGTGGGGAGGTGTGAATTAATGGTAATCTGAATTTAGATCTTAAATTACATAATCGATGTGCTTACTAGCTACGAGAGAAGTATACTTGACAAACGATGGATATCTGTTGTAGTTTGACGGTCTACTTAAAAAAAAAACTAATCCCTGAGTGTCACGCTCAAGACATTAACAAACTTGTCATCATTACCTCCTCTTGATTGCTCTAACTCTCAACACTAAACTCCTCAAAATTGCGTAACAGATTTATGTATATCAACATAGCTATAATGACAACACGTTGTTTTACTGCAAATCTCTACTGCATCATTAACACATGCGGGTGTGTGTTTATTTACATTGTGGTTATGTGGGGGTTGTTTTGTCAGCTCTACTTTCTACGTTTGCGTCTCTCGCTTAAAACGTCATCATTAATTATTAATTATGATCATTAAATTAGTCTGCGTGTTTTAAATGAAAACACAGATAACAAATCACTGGAAACGAACACTTCCGATCATCAAGGACAGGGCAATATGTAGTGCCAAATATATTTAAACACCACAGCCAACCACTCCGCCATGCACCTCAATAACCCAACACGCTCCACCATAACCATCCCATCCCACAATTGCATTCTTACCATCAAACGCTCGCCATCCACAAACCCATCCACCATCTCGTTCACCACTTCAGAATCCACCATAACCATCCAAACATCGCCACCCCATTCCACCAACATCGCGTCGCACCCTCCACCCCCCCCCCCACTCCACCATCCACCTCACCATCATCACCCATCCCACTATCCCTGCACTCCCCTCCCCATATCACTCCGTAGTCCACTATCACCACCCCATCCCACTACACCGTCGCATCCCCCCCACTCTATCTGTCACGAAGTGGGCGTGTTCCACCTAAATATGTTCATCACGTGACCTAGAGACTGATGACCCCTCACGTGACTTACTAACCACTGTCAGTCATATTAATTAATTAACTTAAAAGAACCTCCCCCACATAATCAAATAACGCAACCAGCCAAAGATTATTGACCAACCTGGTTAGGTTATATTCACGCAGCAATGCTGATCTTTTTCATTTCTGGTGTTTTATTCTAACCCTAACTCAGTGGCGTCACTTGGGGGAGGGGGGGGAGCATTAGTGTTATTATTTTTTACCGAAATAAACGTATGTGGGTATTTACCACTCAGATGACGGAAACACACATACAAAAACCATGTCGTCATCCCTTTCTGATCTAAGTCTATACAAAAGAAATCTTTCAAAACAATACTTAGGATTATTACTTTACTATATCAAAAGTGTATCTAAGAAGTTACACTTATTTTAAAGAGAAAATTGTTTTCCACAAGCTTTAACTTCTGTCTCGGCGTTTGTCGGGTTCAGTAACTAAATCGTGTGATTTCAACACAGTTCTTTCAAATTGTACTGCTATGGAATCTCCGACGACAATGCACGAATAGTAATATTTAAATAGAATTTGATATTAAATTAAAAATTGGGGTTTTAAACGATTTGAAACTAAGGGGAGGTAACAAGTTCTGCTCGTTCTTTTTTATTTTCGTCTGTAAACTGTCGTCACCGATGGCTGCTTTCACGGGGGGGGGGGGGGGGGGGGGGGGGGGAGAGAGGAGGGGGAGGATATTTTCAGTCGCAGCATTGGTAGGGTTGAATTCACACATTATGAATTACCAAAAAATTAGAAAATAAAACAACAAAATAGCGGCGTATGGTACGCCGCGGGCCGGCTCGTACATCATAATTAATCATCAACACTCAAAGCTAAAAAAAAAAAAAAAAAAAAAAAATAAAAAAAAAAAAAAAAGAAAAGACAAATAAAATTAAACTTTAAAAAAATCAATCTTTCTATTATAGTTAGCAATGCTGTTAAACTTAAAACGAAAACTTTAAAGTACATGTAGCCTACTTAGTTTTCATTCGTTAAAAATCTAATTCCCCTTTTTACAAGCATTAAGGTTGTTTTGAGAGAGTCGGGGTTGGGGGGGGGGGGGGGGTGCTGTATGCCAAAGGTTTATCTCTGAGGCTATTTCCAGTTTCTAGTACTCAATAAAAACTCCTCTTGGTTGGAGGGTGAGGGGGGGGGGGAGTGTGAGGATTTGTTTAGTATTGTTACTATATTGTGTTCTTGTGTGACTGAAGAAGTGTTGACATTCTCATAAGTGACATTAGCCACCCAGTGTGCCCTTTAATCACCTTGCATGACATTTGTTACTCAGTGTATGACATCCATTCCTATATGACATTTGTTACTTAGGCAGCAACCTCTCAATCTACAGTAACTGTTGTAACGAACGTCCCAGAACTTCAGAGAAGAATGTTTGTGTATGTATCGACTGGCTTTGACGGCATTGTTGTAGTTATAAACGTCTTCGGTTGGGTGGCATTAAAAAACGATTAGAGCTGATGGAGAATTCTTTGTGATGCGTGTAAGTGGGTGGTGTGGTGGGTTTAAGTGGGAGATGTGGTGGGCTGTTAGAGGCTGTTGTGGTGGGCTGTAAGAGGCTGTTGTGGTGGGCTGTAAGAGGCTGTTGTGGTGGGCTGTAAGAGGCTGTTGTGGTGGGCTGTTAGAGGCTGTTGTGGTGGGCTGTAAGAGGCTGTTGTTGTGGGCTGTAAGAGGCTGTTGTGGTGGGCTGTAAGAGGCTGTTGTGGTGGGCTGTAAGAGGCTGTTGTGGTGGGCTGTTAGAGGCTGTTGTGGTGGGCTGTAAGAGGCTGTTGTGGTGAGCTCAAGAGGGAGATGTGGTGGGCTGTTAGAGGCTGTTGTGGTGGGCTGTTTGTGGTGGGCTGTAAGAGGATGTTGTGGTGGGCTGTAAGAGGATGTTGTGGTGGGCTGTAAGAGGCTGTTGTGGTGGGCTGTAAGAGGCTGTTGTGGTGGGCTGTAAGAGGCTGTTGTGGTGGGCTGTAAGAGGCTGTTGTGGTGGGCTGTTTGTGGTGGGCTGTTTGTGGTGGGCTGTTTGTGGTGGGCTGTAAGAGGATGTTGTGGTGGGCTGTAAGAGGCTGTTGTGGTGGGCTGTAAGAGGCTGTTGTGGTGGGCTGTAAGAGGCTGTTGTGGTGGGCTGTAAGAGGCTGTTGTGGTGGGCTGTAAGAGGCTGTTGTGGTGGGCTGTTTGTGGTGGGCTGTTTGTGGTGGGCTGTTTGTGGTGGGCTGTAAGAGGCTGTTTGTGGTGGGCTGTAAGAGGCTGTTGTGGTGGGCTGTAAGAGGCTGTTGTGGTGGGCTGTAAGAGGCTGTTGTGGTGGGCTGTAAGAGGCTGTTGTGGTGGGCTGTAAGAGGCTGTTGTGGTGGGCTGTAAGAGGCTGTTGTGGTGGGCTGTTTGTGGTGGGCTGTTTGTGGTGGGCTGTTTGTGGTGGGCTGTAAGAGGCTGTTTGTGGTGGGCTGTAAGAGGCTGTTGTGGTGGGCTGTAAGAGGCTGTTGTGGTGGGCTGTAAGAGGCTGTTGTGGTGGGCTGTAAGAGGCTGTTGTGGTGGGCTGTTGTGGTGGGCTGTAAGAGGCTGTTGTGGTGGGCTGTAAGAGGCTGTTGTGGTGGGCTGTAAGAGGCTGTTGTGGTGGGCTGTTGTGGTGGGCTGTAAGAGGCTGTTGTGGTGGGCTGTAAGAGGCTGATGTGGTGGGCTGTAAGAGGCTGTTGTGGTGGACTGTAAGAAGCTGTTGTTGTGGGCTGTAAGAGGCTGTTGTGGTGGGCTGTAAGAAGCTGTTGTGGTGGGCTGTTAGAGGCTGTTGTGGTGGGCTGTAAGAGGCTGTTGTGGTGGGCTGTAAGAGGCTGTTGTGGTGGGCTGTAAGAGGCTGTTGTGGTGGGCTGTAAGAGGCTGTTGTGGTGGGCTGTAAGAGGCTGTTGTGGTGGGCTGTTTGTGGTGGGCTGTTTGTGGTGGGCTGTTTGTGGTGGGCTGTAAGAGGCTGTTTGTGGTGGGCTGTAAGAGGCTGTTGTGGTGGGCTGTAAGAGGCTGTTGTGGTGGGCTGTAAGAGGCTGTTGTGGTGGGCTGTAAGAGGCTGTTGTGGTGGGCTGTAAGAGGCTGTTGTGGTGGGCTGTAAGAGGCTGTTGTGGTGGGCTGTTTGTGGTGGGCTGTTTGTGGTGGGCTGTTTGTGGTGGGCTGTAAGAGGCTGTTTGTGGTGGGCTGTAAGAGGCTGTTGTGGTGGGCTGTAAGAGGCTGTTGTGGTGGGCTGTAAGAGGCTGTTGTGGTGGGCTGTAAGAGGCTGTTGTGGTGGGCTGTTGTGGTGGGCTGTAAGAGGCTGTTGTGGTGGGCTGTAAGAGGCTGTTGTGGTGGGCTGTAAGAGGCTGTTGTGGTGGGCTGTTGTGGTGGGCTGTAAGAGGCTGTTGTGGTGGGCTGTAAGAGGCTGATGTGGTGGGCTGTAAGAGGCTGTTGTGGTGGACTGTAAGAAGCTGTTGTTGTGGGCTGTAAGAGGCTGTTGTGGTGGGCTGTTGTGGTGGGCTGTAAGAGGCTGTTGTGGTGGGCTGTAAGAGGCTGTTGTGGTGGGCTGTAAGAGGCTGTTGTGGTGGGCTGTAAGAGGCTGTTGTGGTGGGCTGTAAGAGGCTGTTGTGGTGGACTGTTTGTGGTGGGCTGTAAGAGGCTGTTGTGGTGGACTGTAAGAGGATGTTGTGGTTGGCTGTAAGTGGTTGTTGTGTTGGGCTGTAAGAGGCTGTTTGTAGTGGGCTGTAAGAGGCTGTTGTGGTGGGCTCTAAGAGGATGTTGTGGTGGGCTGTAAGAGGCTGATGTGGTGGGCTGTAAGAGGCTGTTGTGGTGGACTGTAAGAAGCTGTTGTTGTGGGCTGTAAGAGGCTGTTGTGGTGGGCTGTAAGAGGCTGTTGTGGTGGGCTGTAAGAGGCTGTTGTGGTGGGCTGTTGTGGTGGGCTGTAAGAGGCTGTTGTGGTGGGCTGTAAGAGGCTGTTGTGGTGGACTGTAAGAAGCTGTTGTTGTGGGCTGTAAGAGGCTGTTGTGGTGGGCTGTTTGTGGTGGGCTGTAAGAGGCTGTTGTGGTGGGCTGTTTGTGGTGGGCTGTAAGAGGCTGTTGTGGTGGGCTGTAAGAGGCTGTTGTGGTGGGCTGTAAGAGGCTGTTGTGGTGACCTGTAAAGAAGGTATTCACTTGTCAGCAGAACGCAGGAGTTGTATTAAATTACTTTCAAAGACTTTTTGTTTTATATTAGACACTTTATTAGTCTATCACAAACCTGATGGCTAAAAAATAACTAATGGGTGCGGGTCATGACCCATGTTTTAGTTAGCGACCAATCTATTGTCCAGGCCATCCATGCGTCCATTGTATCCTCTGGCCACAACCCCACATATGGATCCGGGTTATGACCCAAAACTTATGGTCTTTAGCCTAGCCACGACCCATCATATATTTAGTGATGGAATAAACCGCAAATATGTTGAATAATCAATATACATTTTTTGCAGGTATTTCTGCCGGTATTTTTTGCAAGTATTGCCGCTGGTGTTGCGGCAGGTATATGTTTCCGACGGTTTAACATTACATATACATACAAACATACTACCTGGTACTCTACGGATATTGATCTTTAGAACATCTTAACAGTTACTCAGCTTTCGACTTGTAAACAAGCATAGAAACTCACGTGAGTCTAAACACACACGTGTAAGTACTCAGCCTATAGATTATTTCAGCAATAAAAGTAATGCAGTTTGGATGAAAGTTTTCTGCCGATGACATTTATTTCTGGGGAAAAAAACACACTGCACTTTAGAATAATGTCATAGTGGCATATTTTGAATCCTTTATACATTTACAGGAATAAAACTAATTTGTAGAAGTATTGATTGATAGACATTAAAATCGATACTTCTACAAATACCAGCAGAGTCGTATCGAGCTAACGATATGCCTTCCCTACCTTTTGTTTCCTTGCAGTTTAAAAATACCCTCGATCCTTTACAATGTTGCTAAGCCAGCTATTTAAAAATGTCAAATTTGCAACTTTATTGAAAGGCCAAAACTTGTGGACGAAATCCTGCAATACAACATTAAATCACTAATAAGCATTAATATAAAAATAAATAAAAGAATACATTTTTTATCTATTACTATTACTAATCGATACATACTGAACATTTTAAGTACACACAATCGATATTTTATTAAAGTTTTATATAAATAATAATGCATTTTTAAGTCTGGCACCAAAAGTCGATACATACTTGCTGTTAAGGGGTCATCCATAAATGACGTCACACTCGTAGGGGGGAGGGGGGGGGTCCGTAATTTTGTGACGATGTGTGATGAGGGGGAGGGGGGGGGGGGGGTTCAGATGTTGCAACGTCACATTTTTGCATTATAAAAAAGCAATGTTAGAAAACGAATTTTAGACGTTATTTCGCGTTTTAGATAACTGTTTTAATAAATTGTAATAGTTTAGACAAGATTTTGGAAAAATATCGATGTTTTAAAAAAATTCAACTGCAATTTTGAGGGGGGGTTGTAGGTTGAGGTGTGACGTCATTTTAGGGGGGGTCTGACTTTTTGTGACGACGTGTGACGGAGGGGAGGGGGGAGGTAAAAATCGTCAAAAAAAGCGTGACGTCATTTATGGATGACCCCTAAGTACTAATAAATGCCGAATACTTAAAGTCTGATGCAAACAGATAGGTCAAGTCAAATATAAATCGTATATGGGGTAGGGGATCTATTTCTAATTTCTAGTTGTCTCATACCGTGCTGTAGTTTTCTAGACCATACTTTAGCATGACAATGTAAACAAAGTATTCAATTTTCAATCCTCACTAAGGTGTATTTTTCAATTTCTTGTACGATAAAAATGTCGTCCTTAATTAAAACCAATTAATAAAGTTATCTTGTTATCGTGAACTCTCTTTTTATGGATGTCAAATTGGCTGAGGGGTGTGGTTTAAGTGGGATGAGGGGTGTGTTTTAAACATCAAGTGAGATCTAGAGTGGAGGGGGGGGGGGGCTAAGGCTGTTCCATTAAATATAAACATTTCCATTTTTTTAAATCAACGTATAGAAACCTACTGAAATCTTCCTGTTTTAAAGCCATAGTTGATGCTATGTTTTGTGTCATAATTGATTGCAAATTTTCTTTCATTTCTTTATGCAGTTTAGTATTATTGTGTAGCAAATTCAAATGTCAGTCATCTTTAATGACATTTGTGTTTCTATCTGTCTGGTGTTAATCTAATCTGGGCTCCTACGAGTTTCAGCATGTACCGCTATATAACATGCATTGCTGTATTGAACTCTTAATCTTATGTCCATTCAAACTTTTACAAGCTTTTTCGCATCAAACTTTAATTTTTCTGGGACGTTATAGAAAAGTTTGGAATGTGTTGGTACTAAACTTATTTGGAACATTTTTAGAGAAAAGTTCCAGATGTATTTATACAAAAGATATCCGGGGTGGACTATTTGGAGAGAATAGTTTGGAACATGTTTATACCAAACTCCATTGATTTAGGACATTGTACAAACACGTTTTGGAAAATGTTTGAAATAAAGTCAAGTTTTCTAGATGTCTCAACATTTTATAGAGAAAACTTAGAAAAATGTTAGTCTGGGACTTTTATGAAACAATTAAGACCATAATTTTACAAAGCCGTCAGTACATAAAGATGTAGTGAACATAATTTCTTCAAAAGCTGAACTTAAAATACATGTCGTCCGTGCGCATCTTTAATTTGAAGAAATATTCACACCTTTAATTAAACAAAAAAAAATAATTAACAACGTCATATTTTTAATATTTGATTATATTAATTAATTTCAATCCCTGGAAAACATTGTTAACAGAGGGTTAAGGAAACTCATTTGTTATCTGCTTCTTACTTCTCTTTCGTCTTTTTCTCAGACATGCGCGGCTAATTATGGGGAAGTGCTGAAGGCATGTCCTTAAAAACCAATATCAGAACACAGGGCAGGTGGTTATTTTGTTGATGGCCTCGCTGTAAATTAATTGCATTAATTAGAATATGACCGAAAGGTGAAGCTATTTTTTTCCTCTTTTGAATGAACTTGTTAATTTTTTTTTAACAAAACACCATGTTACAAACGAAATCGAAGCTCTTCTGAAAACTATCAATGGATTATTTAAACAGTCAGAGATAAAAATATAAATATATAAATAGCTTTTCGTGGGACTTCTACATAATGAATATTTATTATGTTTTTAAGATAATGGTTTGAAAAGAAGCCAAAAAAAATTGAAATGACCTTGTTAGAAAAGTTCTTGTAGAGATGAATACCGTACTTACGCAGAACACTCTACGTGTTATAGAGGAAAAGTGCTGGGAGGGTAGCAGAGAGTGGGAACTAGAGATACATGACACTCACCTCTATCGGTGCCAGAGTTTAATGTACGACAACGTTCAGCGTTTAGACTTGTTTACGGCTGGCTGCGGCACCGGATGTAGGTGACGGAAGTGCCTGTTACCATGGAAACCAGGCCCGCTTAGAACATCGGGCGCCGTGAAATGTTTTAGGCTATGTCTAAGTTATGCCCCCTCCGTACAAACACCTCTAAAATTGTATGCGTGTGTGTAAAGCCGCAGATAAATTTTACTATTGTAGTTTCAATTATTTTGTTTTATTGTATTATTATAGCAAGACTTTAGGCGCCATCTAAGCCACACTATAACAATAGGTATTAGCCTATTAGGCTTTGTACTAGATATTTGCTTGAGATAACTAAAAAAAAACTATCATCGGGTACTTTAAAACTCACCGAATTTGTTACAGAACTTTGAATTATGTAACGTAATTTCGTTACAAATCTGCTATGTAAATTTGCAAAGAAAAAAGTCTTGATATACTTTGTTTATCAAATTTTGACAAACTGACTAACATTTTTTTTCAGGAATTTTCTCGGCGCAGAGATTGTACAACACAAACAACAACGTAACAAATTCTAAGCAAGTAGAACATTGCGTCATACAAGCATAAAGAGAATCGAATCCAAGAAAAGCAAGTCTAAACAAATACGAGATTAGTGACAGGTTCAAATTTTTTCTCATACAAGCTAAAAAAGAAGGAAGAAGACAGAAAGAAAACGAAACAAGAAATCTTCGATTGTTTTTGAAGTTGTCTTAGGTTTATATTTTTAAAAAATATAAAATATAATTTTTTTTTTAAAATAATTTATTTTACTTTTTTACTTTATTTGCAAATCTTTAAAGCTCAAAATCTTAACTGATATTTCTTAAGACACAACAGTGAGAATTTTAGAACATCTTCAATTTGGATTTGCTCAAGGAGTTTCAGCATTTGTGAAAGAAGGAAAGTGTTTTTAAAAGAAAGGAAAACTCAAACACGAAGAGCAGTAAAACAGAAGAACTAATCAAACAAAATACTAACCTATTCAAACAGAAAAACTAATTAAATACAAGGAAAATCACATATAAGGAGATGGCCGTTCAATTCTTCGTAGTCCAGTCATATCTTCAGATCGTGCTGACCACTCTTTCGCTGTATGCCCTACATGCGTGTGAGTACTGCATGTCATTTTGTATGATTGTCATATCATGCTATATGTCTGTCGTGTGATGTATGCTTGGCATATGGTGTTTTATGTCTGTCTGATCATGATGTTATGTGTCTGGCACGTCATGTATGTCTGTCACTAAGTGTTAGTGTGTGTCTATCAGTGTGTGGTATTGTATGTCAATCATTGAGTGATGTTGTGTCTCAATCACAAAATGCATGTATGTCATGGGTGAAGTTTGTCTATCATGGGATGGTGTGGTATGTCATGAGGTGATGTGTGTGTCTGTCGTGTTGTCCGTGATGTGTGTGTCTGTCATGTTGTCCGTGATGTGTATGTCGTGTTGTGATCTCATTAGCCGATGATGAAACCTGTAATACTAATGCGCACATGCAAGGCAAACTGACGCTGTAAATTATGTCTGAGGCGAGAAAAATATGACATTTTGGCGATTTAATGACATTAATAAGTTAATATATAAAATAATTTATTTGTGAGTGTATTTGTATCTTTATATGTGTGTTTCTGTGTGTGAATCTATGTATGTAGACACTGTATTACTTTATAATTTTCTATTACTATCAAATCAATCACAGGATGTTGTATAATGTAACAATTGTTTTTTTATTCAATCATTGACTTAAGCTCATAAATCCGCGATATATAATTCCACCACTAGTCGTAAGTCTAAAACAAAAATTAAAATTTCTTGTTTCCCTTTACGCCATCTAAATTTTAATTTATGTTCGTGAACAAGATAAGATAATCGAGGTTCCTTGTGTCTATCGAGTTACTGACCCCAAGTTTGAATACCACAGCAAAGGTGCTTTTAAGAGAAGCAAAACATGCCCCATCGGAAACACCCCCCGCAGGGTAATGCTCCCTAATTTGGGGAGAAAAAAAAAGCTTAAAAAAATAAATCGTTAGATTTTTTAATACATTGCGAGAAGCGTGGAGGAACATTGATATCGGCAGCCGTATAAAAAGTCGTGTCGTCTTTGTTTTTATCTCGAAATGGATTTAATTATAGGAATCTGTTCATCTTAAAACCATTTCACACACACAACTGTGCTGTTTTCATTTTCTGAGATTATCGGCTGCTTACTACACACATGTGTATGTGTGTGTGTGCGTGTGAGGCTGAGTGTTTGGTGCATCTGTTTATGTGTGCGTGAATGTGTATGTGAATGGTTGAGTGTGTTTGGTGCGTCTATGAGCGCCTGTGCGTCTATTTTTTATAGTTCTGATCTGATTTTACGTTCATAGAAATAATTGAATAAGGGGTCGTCCATAAATGACGTCACACTCGTAGGGGGAGGGGGGGTCCGTAATTTTGTGACGGTGTGTGATGAGGGGGAGGGGGGGGGGGGTTCAGATGGTGCGACGTCACACTTTTGCATTAGAAAAATCAATGTTAGAAAACGAATTTTAGACGTTATTTTGCGTTTTAGAAAACTGTTTTAATAAATTGTAATAACAATTGATTAAAATAATCTATTTTGACAGAGTTCAGACATGATTTTGAAAAAAAATATAGCTGTTTAAAAAAAAATTAACTGCAATTTTGAGGGGGGGGGGGTTGTAGGCTATGGTGTGACGTCATTTTAAGGGGAGGGTCTGGCCTTTTGTGACGACGTGTGACGGAGGGGAGGGGGGAGGGAGGTAAAAATCGTCAAAAAGCGTGACGTCATTTATGGATGACCCCTAATGTGTAATAGAATTTTAAACGACGTTAAAGCTAGCACACGATCGGGTACTTAAAACGGCACACAGTGAAGTCACTGTGTTGAACAACATATATCTTTAACGTTTCCCTTATTGTAGATCTGATTCACAACAAACATCCCACAACTCGTTAAGTTTAGCGGTTATCGGCCTTTGTTATTAAACAATCTAAATTTACTAAAACATTTTCTTCTATTTATTGAGTTTTCGCCCCTTGTCGCACTAACTTGACCTCCTTAAGCCAGGTCTATAACTCACCCGCCTATTTTCTTGTTGCTCTCGCGTCGATACAACCTTTGTATAGCTCATACGTCACACACACCACACCTGTAATTCAATCGCTCATGTCATAAATTATTTCCTCTAAACATGCTCTACCTTTTCATCCTACCGCCGTTGTCTGTGCTCTTTATTGAAATATTCGCAGACTTCTCCACACAGATAAAGATTTTGGTTACACTTTTTTTTCTGAAAGAAATTTAAAATTTTTCCTAGTAGCGGTATGCCCTACTCGTCAATGGTTGAGCTACAAATTAAAGTTGACGGAATATTTTATCGCACGATGAAAAACGCGAGTCTCTACCACCTAGAGGGCGCTCAGCTTGAAGAAAACAGCAGTAAAAAAATTAAGTGCCTGGAACAAATAATAGTTCGCATTTTTATGGGATTTCGTGTGGAAAATAAAACATGGAATGATGTGAAATGGATGTGTCGATGATAATGAACCTGGGGTAGGCGGGTCAAATACAGTAAAATATATCAGTGGTGTGTTGGTAATACAGTAAAATATATCAGTGGTGTGTTGGTAATACAGTAAAATATATCAGTGGTGTGTTGGTAATACAGTAAAATATATCAGTGGTGTGCTGGTAATACAGTTAAATATGTCAGTGGTGTGTTGGTAATACAGTTGAATATATCAGTGGTGTGTTGGTAATACAGTTAAATATATCAGTGGTGTGTTGGTAATACAGTTAAATATATCAGTGGTGTGTTGGTAATACAGTTAAATATGTCAGTGGTGTGTTGGTAATACAGTTAAATATGTCAGTGGTGTGTTGGTAATACAGTTGAATATGTCAGTGGTGTGTTGGTAATACAGTTGAATATATCAGTGGTATGTTGGTAATACAGTTGAATATATCAGTGGTATGTTGGTAATACAGTTGAATATATCAGTGGTATGTTGGTAATAGTTGAATATATCAGTGGTATGTTGGCAATACAGTTGAATATATCAGTGGTATGTTGGTAATAGTTGAATATACCAGTGGTATTTTTGTAATACAGTTGAATATATCAGTGATATATTGGCAATACAGTTGAATATATCAGTGGTATGTTGGAAATAGTTAAATATGTCAGTGGTGTGTTGGTAATACAGTTGAATATATTAGTGGTATGTTGGTAATAGTTGAATATACCAGTGGTATTTTTGTAATACAGTTGAATATATCAGTGATATATTGGCAATACAGTTGAGTATATCAGTGGTATGTTGGTAATACAGTTGAGTATATCAGTGGTATGTTGGTAATACAGTTGAATATATCAGTGGTATATTGGCAATACAGTTGAGTATATCAGTGGTATGTTGGTAATACAGTTGAATATATCATTGGTATGTTGGCAATACAGTTGAGTATATCAGTGGTATGTTGGCAATACAGTTGAGTATATCAGTGGTATGTTGGTAATACAGTTGAATATATCAGTGGTATGTTGGCAATACAGTTGAGTATATCAGTGGTATGTTGGTAATTTAGTTGAATATATCAGTAGTATGTTGGCAATACAGTTGAAAATATCAGTGGTATGTTGGTAATACAGTTGAAAATATCATTGGTATGTTGGCAATACAGTTGAGTATATCAGTGGTATGTTTGTAATACATTAAATACATCATTAGTATGTTGTCACGTTGTGCTAGATACTGTGACTTTGGGGGATCAAGGATAAGAGTCACATGATGGTGTGTATGGACCTAATGGAGTGTAGGGACCTTATACTGTGTATGGACCTAATGGAGTGTAGGGACCTTATGGAGTGTAGGGACCTTATGGGGTGTAGGGACCTTATAGTGTGTAGGGACCTAATGGAGTGTAGGGACCTAATGGAGTGTAGGACCTAATGGAGTGTAGGGACCTAATGGAGTGTAGGGACCTAATGGAGTGTAGGGACCTTATGGAGTATAGGGACCTTATGGAGTGTAGGGACCTTATGGAGTGTAGGGACCTTATAGTGTGTAGGGACCTAATGGAGTGTAGGGACCTAATGGAGTGTAGGACCTAATGGAGTGTAGGGACCTAATGGAGTGTAGGGACCTAATGGAGTGTAGGGACCTTATGGGGTGTAGGGACCTTATAGTGTGTAGGGACCTAATGGAGTGTAGGGACCTAATGGAGTGTAGGGACCTAATGGAGTGTAGGGACCTTATGGAGTGTAGGGACTTTATAATGTTTAGGGACTAATGGAGTGTAGGGACCTTATGGAGTGTAGGGACTTTATAATGTTTAGGGACTAATGGAGTGTAGGGACCTTATAGTGTGTAGGGACCTAATGGAGTGTAGGGACCTTATAGAGTCTAGGGACTTTATAATGTTTAGGGACTAATGGAGTGTAGGGACCTAATGGAGTGTAGGGACTAATGGAGTGTAGGGACCTTATAGTGTGTAGGGACCTAATGGAGTGTAGGGACCTAATGGAGTGTAGGACCTAATGGAGTGTAGGGACCTAATGGAGTGTAGGGACCTTATAGTGTGTAGGGACCTTATAGTGTGTAGGGACCTAATGGAGTGTAGGGAACTGATGGAGTGTATGGATTTATGGTGTGTAGAGTCCTAATGGTATGTAGTGACCAAAATATTACTAACTAGAGTTAGACGAAATAATTTATACGAACTGTTATAAGTAAACGAACAAATATTCAACTAACATCAACAACAACACCCCAGGAAAACTCGATTCATTATTTCTTCCATGTATTTGCTCTTCATTGGGATGTAAGGGGGTTTCCCCCAAGGGCAAATAACTCTTGATGTGAAGCAGTAATCCATCCCTCTAGCGCCCCTCTAGATTGGAGATGAAAGCTGGGGAACGTTGTGGCTTGTCAACAGATTGGAACAACTTAGAGGCTTTAGGGTGATCAGATGAGGGCAGGGAGACAACGCTGTTGAACATCGTAGAAGGGAAAATACTCTGTTTCTTTCTTGGTGAATGGTGTCAAATATAAACTCTAGTTGGTAGATTTAGTGTGGAGAAGATTTTGTTGCGCGAAG